CAAAAAAACAAGGTAATTAATTAATCTTATAGTGGAATACTGAAATATGCAAGAAATAAACTTAATAAAATTTATAACCTGGGTCTAGGCTTAAACTGTAAAAAAATTGGTAAACGTATTATATATATATAGAATATATATATATATATATATATATATATATATATATATATATATATATATATATATATATTTGAATTTTGTCCACAAGTTGGGGTTACGGTCTATGGCCATGATCTTAGTCTTCAATGGCAATTCCCAAAAAGCCAAGTCCAACAATTTGCTCAGATCACAGAACAATAGCCTTAATGAGTCACACACTTAAAACATTTTTGAAAATAATTCACAGCAGAATTGTTAAAACTCTTGAATATGAAATTAGTGACACACAATTTGGCTTTAGAAATGGTATGAGTACAAGAGATGCTTTGTTCGACTTGAATGTGCTGGGTCAGAGATGCTACAAAGATCGATTGCAGCGATTGTCTGGGGATTGTGGTAGTCTGGAAGAAATTAGGAGGAGCCTATGTTCAACTTTGCATATGACTAAGAAGGCAACTTTGGATGATGATGATATATAGCGTACAACTAAAGAGTATCAAGAGGTAGTGATTTTAAACAGTTTTGAAAAATGGGTTTAGGTTATTATTACTGGGCCTGGATCAATAAATATAATGCTAGATAATGTCCACCAGAAAAATGTAGACAATTTTCGCAAAAAAGCTGAAGTACTATCCTGACTACATTGATACATAAATTAGATATTGTAATATTAAATATTGCAGAGAAGTTACACGTGCACCTGTTATTACTGTGGACACAAATAAAAAATTAAACGGAGCGCAAACATATTTTTACAACATTTAAATTGAGTGACGTGAAAGTATATGTGAAAGCAACTCCGTAGCAAAAATGTGTTCAAAATCAACATGGCATAAAGAAAAAAAGACAAAAAAAAAAACAAAATCTTTATTTCTGGCGAGGACAGAAAGGATATTAGTGCAATGTTTTCAAATTTTAACTAACATTCTAAATCAAACTGAATCAATCCAGAATGTCAATTATTGTGATAAGAAAATTGGTTGGGATAACTTTGTAAAAACATTACCATTTAATACGTTCGACGATATTGCTGGAATAATAATAATAATTTTTGTACCAATATTATTTCTTTTAAAGCGATACAGAATGCCAATAGGTAATAAATTTATCAAAAAGTATTATAACCTCTACTTAATGAAAGTAAAAAGTAGGATTAAGAGATTTCGAAGTATACAACAGGCGTCTGTAAACTTTAACGAAAGAAGACAATTTTGCAGCTAATATTGGTAGACCATTTACCAGATTATGACCCACAACCACGGACATGATATCAGAAGCAAAGCTAAGAAAGAACAAGCTTAGAATAACTATTTAAATATATGGTTTTCATTGTCAATATATCCATTATGACCATCAATTTTCAAAATGAAGGAATAATTTAAAGGAAATATTAATAGAATTAAAAACAAATATTAAAAATTATTCTGGATTAGATAATGTTTTCAAGTATAACTCTAATGTAAACAAGAAATTTATTCTCACCTGAATAATTCATATTCACATCTTAATAAAGTTATATTAGTTCTGACATATCAAATAATAACAAACATACAAAGGTGTCAAATTGTTAAATACCACCCGTGATGTACTTCTAACCCCTTTGCTTTTTCTACGCTCTCTAGGGTAGTCTATACAGATGGTCGTTCTCTTGGAAAAAATGTTAATGGCATAATTTTCGCACGCCTTTTTTGAATTGAAAAGTAACAATGTGAAATAAGGGCAGAATTGACAAAATTGCGACATGCTGACTATATTGTATGATTGACTTTTGTTCTACTTTATTTTCGATCAAATAACATTTGGTGTATTGTGGACAGAAATGGATTTTTAATTTGTTATGATTGAATCATCAGTTGAAGAAATAAGGACATATTTACCTTTTAATAAAATTAATAATTTGATTGCTGGATAATTAACATACAAACCAAAAATAAGTCACTTAACTCAAATATATTAATTAGGATATCCATTTAATAATTGTACTTAAAATTATTATCAAATCCAGTACTAATTACTAGTGGCGGTCGTAACTTAGTGGCAGTAGTATTATCTGCTGAATCTGGATGGTCCGAGTTCTATGATCTCGTCCAGTACAAAAACCAGACTTTTTTTTAATTTCTAAATTAGCTGGGTTGTCACGGTACTTAAAACGACAAGTAAAGAAAGCGCTTCCGGCTACGTAAGTAATTGTTAAAACTAAAACCTGAGCCAGTTACTAGAACAAATTTAAACACTCATTCAGATCCTCTCACCAACAGCTTACTTCACTAGGCAAGAACAAGGCTATTAAATATTTAAGTTCTTTGGACCTAACAAAAAGAGAAATCAAACGATTTCTACCTGGCGAAATAGAATCCAAATCTTGACCACTGTGCTTTCTAAAACTTGCAAAGCGAACAGTTTTATAAATAACTCAGCAAGGGAATCTAAGATTGCATTCCACATACCGTTTATCATGGTCAAAATTCGTAGTGAATTCAATTTCTGGTACTCCAAACGGAGTAAAGAAATAAAATATAAAGACGGTACTAGATTTTTTTTCAATACAGAGCGGAATATCGGAGAGTGGAGAGTTTTAATAGCGGAGAGTTTCAATCATCAGGTAGGAGGTATCTGTTGCGTTCTGCACATACGATGACCTCAATATACCAATTGGGGTCATCCTGAAGGGGGAGAGAAGATATTCTGTTCAATCTAGAACTCACTGGTTACCCCCTTTCGAAATGGCTATGTATATTAAAATAAAGAAAAGAAATCAAAGCCAGCGGACTGTATAAAACTCTATTTATAAAAGCAATGAAATTAAAACATAAATATACATAACCATATACAATTATAATTAAAGAAGAATATATTACAAACTTAACTATTAGCTACTATGAATTACACCAACAGACACACCAAAAGACAACCATAAACAAGTCAAAACAAAAATGTCAATTCTATAAAAAACCACTGACAAAACAAAAGACAAAACCTACCATAGCCGCAAACATACTATACATAAAAAGATAAAAGACGATTAATAATCTTACAAAAAAATCAACCTAAATAAGGATATAATATTTTAACGTTGTAAAAACAAATTAAGAATGCGGTGCATACAAATAATTCATAAGTACAATTATTAATACAAAACATACAAGAAATAAAATCGGTGTTAACAAAATACAAAAAAATATACAATACAGTAAATAAACCGAAACAAATTCAAAATGTCCAATTGACAATGTTCAATCGCGATCGCGGCACAAATGCGATGAAGTTCCAAACAAATATCAAATAAATATACCAAGTGCACGTACTTGATATATGCAGCAACAAATTAATGGTGTATTCTTCCTTACCCAATGAAAAGATAGCCCCAACGCTATCGCAAATTATGTCTTCAGCGACACTGGAACCACATAATTCTACGTATATCTCGGTCGCCAGACCGATACGAAGCAATCAGGTACTCTTCACCAAAATGCACATTCACATGTGCATCGTTTGAGAGACAAAACTCGACTCTGGTTGTGTATAGAATGCAAGACCTTATTTTAGGTACACACACACATGTGGTGATATTTGGCAGATGGCTTCTTGAAAATTTATTTTTTTAAATAGCTGCATTTTTTCGTATAGGCAAATCTGGTTTAGATATACTACGAGGAGAATCAAAACTAATAAAAAGCCTGTTCATATTTAATAAATGTTTATATATCGTTGCTAAACTGCAACATTCTCAACGTCTTGGCATACGTGCCAATAAAACATAATGTTACTTTGCACTAGCGACGCACTGTACAAAGTCCAAAACCGTAAACACTTCTTCGGTTACGAAACGAACGCCACACTTACAAGACTACAAAAAGCTCTACAATTACAAAAGACCACAAAGAACGATAAACTTACAAACGATAATAGATTACAAATACATAACTATATACTAAATATACATCACTAAAATTATACAACTATCACTACTATACATAAAACAGATTTCCACTCTAATAGGAAATGCATTCCTTTAGTATTCTAGGATACAATACATGAACTTGATGCCATCAAGATGTGGCTATACAAGCGAATCCTCAGGATACCATGGACGGAACAGTTAACCAACTTGACCGTATGAAGAAGAACGAGGAAAGAAAGAAAAGTGATGTATATGATTGGAAGGCAACAATCAGAATATCTCGGACACATGATAAGAGACGGCACTCAATATAAATAATACAAATTAACTGTCTAATAGTATTCGAAAAACAAAGAATTGGGAGAAGATAAAAATATCCTGGTTAACAAACCTAAGAAAATGGATCTCCGTAACAACATCGAAGTTAAAGATAAATAAACCGAATAATAGTAGCCCGAATGGCCATTACAATATTCGGAAATATATCCAACTGATTATCCGGATTGGCAATACCGAATGGCAACGATTCCAGTATACGAGGAAACGAGAGACTTTAAGTCTTAAACAATAAGCAATTCAGCTTGCTTTTTACAAACGTTTCTGATGAAACAAGACACAAATGCCTTTACTCGGCGCAAACGAGAAAGATATGAGTACATTTTAAACATATGTACCCCGAATGCTAAATCTAGAGATGGGTGTTATGCCACTCTAGGAACTTTTGACCCAATTATAGTCGCAAAATCTAAGTTATTAGATTGTTTAAAATTGTCTCTGAAATGAGACGACAAAAATTTAGGCTCACAATGCCAAGATGTCGATCGAGCTAGTGTATCGGGGTTAGCTCCCGCGAAGCTGTATCGGCAGCGTCATCGTCAGACACCCCATCATGAAAATCATACACAGAAAAATCCTTGGGCAAGGATTGAATATTAGAATGGACCTGAGGTCCAGAGAGATGTACATTATTAAAGGTTAGCCCCGTAGACTAACTCACGCCTGTATCATCGTCACGAGTCTTGTAGGACTCACTATCCGTTACCACTTCAACACGTGGAAGAAAATATGCAATACTGCTAAGGTCATTAGGTAACGCCTTATGAACAGTATCTACTTGAGCTAAAGTCGAGGATAGCTGACCTGACGAACTAGGCGCCATCACACGAGGTATTTGAGACGTGGATGTCTCGAAATAAGGTTGAGATTGTGAAAAAGATGAGTCTTTTGACATATGATTTTGGGAAGACTTGACTACAAATCTGAAATAAGTTTGGAAGGTCTTTCTCCTACATCTAACCTAGAAGAATAATGGGATGCACTACCTACTGTGCACATTCATATTTATCATACTCAACCTGTAAATACTCACGACGAACTTTTAAAAGATAATCAATATCGACCAATGAAACATTTTTTGCAATTCAATTACAGTGACGAATAATTGCATTCTTGGCAGACTGTCCCTTGAATTTGAGGCTGTCCATTGTTTAGACAGAAATGGAGCTGCTAATATTTAAAACTGACAAGACAAAAAAGAAAAATATTGTGAAAGAGTAAAAGCGTGTAAAAGTAATTGTAAATCCCTTGATTTGAAAGCACTTTAATCGTGATACATTTAATACGCAGTTAATATTGGCTTTAAAGCCCCAAAAAGCGCCACATGTAATTACTGTGACAAAATAAATATTAAGCTGAAAAATAATGAACTTCAAAATTCTGAAAACATAAGTAAAAATGACAAATTAAAACAGGAGAAGGAAATACATCTGACTCGTACAAAAAGTTTAATTTCTTAAAGATTTTAAAAATAACACTAAGGCCTCTATTCTGGTCATAGCTGTTTATTTGCAGCTTAGGAAAGCGTGGATCATGATAGTTATAGTATATCGCCTTTTTATGTAACAATGTACTAACCGCTTGATTCCAATGAGATGAAATTATTTCCTGATTTTGTTAAAAGACAATTGTTAAAAAACCCAGTTTTGGCCGGTCGAGGTTTATTTCTTCGATTATTATTGTGTACTAGCCAGATTTGTTGATTTTCATTTCAGAAATTGACCTTCTAATTTCGTCTAGTGGTATTTCTTCATTTTGATTTAATTTTTGGAGTGGTTTGGTACAGCCCATTCTCTATTTATTTTTGCATTTAATTTAGTATATACTGCTTTGACTGTATTATAATTTTATTTTTCATAGTGTTGCCGTTTCTGTTTTTGAGTAGTATTTTTCAGTCAATTATACCAATCAATCTCAGTCAATGCTTTCGTTTAAACAGTTTTTAAGGCAATTACACATTTTTTCCGTTCTCTCAGTGAATTGTGGACATTTTCTTTCTGCCTCTCTATGAAATTATTAAACAGGCAATTAAAAAAATTATAAAATAATAGTTAGATAAGTAGTATTTTATTCCTACCCCTAGATTGTTTTATTAAGCTAAAATCAGTCACTACTACTACTAAATGTTGTTTCCTAATGTTAACATATTTTTTGTTGACTCTTGAAGGAAACTACCGAATTCTCACATAATCTAGCCCCTCTTTTAAGATGTGATATATGATGTTATATGAATGAATGAAATAATGTCCTCTGAAATAACACCTTTTACCGTTCATCGCTTCTGTCTATTATTATTCAAATTACAAAAACAAATATTTGAACAAAGGCATAGATGGCAATAGGCTCGCTCCAATTTTTTCTTGTAAAACAAAAGCCGTGACAAATGGACAACCCTGTACATAATAGAATTAAATCTGGATCATTAATATCCGAGTAAAAGAGAACACGTCAAAAAATTGACCCTTGTTAATGAGGGTATCATACCCTCTACATGTTGTTAATAGAAGTCTTAATAGGGGTCGGGACAAAAGATCCTGAAGGTCTACTTTTCTGTCATGCCTCTAATGGACAATGAAACTGTGACGCTTGGATTTTTTATGTTCTAGTCTAAAAAATATGTTATTTCAGTTACCAGATATTACTGAAGGAAGGCTGTAATAAGAACTTGAAAGAAATGAAATTTATATATTTAAATATTTTAAATATTTTGGCAATCCAATATCAACGTAAAAATTCAAAATGCTATGATATAAAACTAAAAAATAATTAAAAGATACTTTGAAATAGAAGAGCTAATAAAGAAGAATTTTGAAGAAAGACAAAAGTTAAAATAGCTATGATGGTATTTCTGATCGGAAGAGAAACTCTCCGAAAAATATATTACATTATGTTAACGAAAATCTTCTAGGATGTTACATTATTCTGTTTTGTTTTGTTTTCTAGTATAATATATAAACTATAAAGACGAGAAAAATAAATTGACATTACATTTTGTACAGTCTAAAACCCAAAAATTTTAAGAAAATATAAAATGAGTAGTAAGCAACCCTTCCACGTGCATAAAAAGTCTTGATTAAATGTATGCGTTTATAATCAGTGTTCTTTCTTACTTTCACATCGTTTCTATGTTCTACACCATCGCAGTTTTTCCATAATTGAGCACACTCGTGCGTCCGGTGTGGACTTCATAAACTCCTGGACAAAACTAACGCACCCCTCATATTTTTTTCACTAATCTTTATTTATTGATAATGTACTGTACAAGTTGCCCATGGCCCTTGTTTGGCAGTGACAGTTGTTAAGTAAGCTAATAATCGTCTTGTTTTAACAATAATTTGTATTAAACTTCGTTTTCAGACTAAAAGTGAGTTAAACTTTTCATAAAAAGTGCCGATTAAAGTAAAGTACTGTTGAGAAACAAGCTTTTTATTGTGATATGTGATATTTTTCATCACATGCATGTTTGGAACTTCATTTGCATAAAAATCAAGTAAAAAAATGAACCGCCAAAGAAAATTGTCAATGGAGGAGGCAGTGCTAGCATCGACTCTCCTAGATGAAGGATATTCAATGCGATACGTTGAAGGTTTGTTAGGAAGATAACATTTCAGCATCAGTCGCAAGGTGGGGTGATATAATGAAACAGGGTCGTACCATCGAAGACCAGGGCAAGGGCGAAAACGTTGCACTAATCAAATTGATGATCGTTTTTTGAGACAACTTGTTTTCAGAGATTCACCAGCAATTTGCAAAAAATGAACTAGCAGATGTTCAAAATGTCGCGATATCGTCTCGAACAGTTAGAAGACGTTTACATGAAGCAGAATTGAGCAACAGGAAACCGGCCAAAAAACCCTTGCTTACCAGAGAACACAGGGTTCAGAGATTGAATTTTGCAAGATTGCATCAAAATTGTACCATCGATAATTGGAAACGAGTTCTTTTCTCAGATCAGACTAGAGTAAGCCTAAAAGCTCCAGATGGCCGTGAGCATGTCTGGCGAAGGCGAGGAGAAAGGTTTGCCAACTGCAATATCTCTCCTAAAGTACCTTTTGGTAGTGGCTCTAAAATGTTTTGGGGGGGGAATTTGAAGCTTGTATGGAGTTGGTCCCTATACGTACAAGGTCTATGAATGTCCAGTATTACTTATTGTATTACATTACATTATTGTCGAACATGTAATGCCTTTTGCTCCGTTTCTTAACCCTAATTTTTTATTCATGCAACACAACACTCGTTCTCATGTGGCTCGATAGGTTAGGCATTATTAGAGTAGCCACCTAACAGTCCGGACATGAATCCTATAGAGCATATATGGGACTATCTCAAACAAAAAAAGATTCAAAGTCGTAAACCCCCTATTGCCAATCACAACCAACTCATTGAGGTAGTTATTGAAGAATGGGAGAATATTCCGCAAACTTTTGTTGAACACTTGATATCAAGCATACCTCGACGCATAAATGCAGTCATAAGAAGTAGAGGAGGGCCTACACGGTATTAGTGTTGACCCAGATGCATTTTATTGTGATACTTTACTGATTTTTTTCTTTTTGCAATTTGGAGTTATGCTAGCTTATTTACGCATTTCCGGCAAAAACCAATGCTCCGGCAAGGCAAATTAAGGTCATGATAAAGTCACGTTGGACTTATTTGTATGTGTTTATTATTTCGACGTAACTTAGTTTTATTTTGTGTTCATATTGTAAATATTTAGATTAATTAAAGTAGGTCGTTAATTTTGCCCAGCAGTTTATATTAAATATTCCATAAATATATGGGATTAAGCCACAATTGATTGTACTAAAAATTACATTTTTAAATAGTTTGACGTTTGGATTTCCACTACAGAAATCGTTTTAAAAAAAGATTGTTATAAAAATTCTGCGAAAAAAGTATAACCAACAAATTTTTAGCAGGTTATGTTTTTTTTTTTAATTTACGGTTGACTTATCCTGTAGACAAGCTATTCTTGTAGCTGAAAATTGTGATTGTGGTGTTTGTACTTTCGGGATATCAAATTCCGACTGTATTGTGTGTTGTTTATATTCCTTGTTTGTGTATTATGGGTTTCTGTAATGTGTATTTTTTGTAATATATATATATATATATATATATATATGTTTGTGTATTGTATGTTGCATGTATGTATTGTTTATAATTTTAGATATGTCTCCGATTTTGTATTAATGAGATATTGTTGGTATATTCTTGTTGTTGACTTCTTCTTTTAGTATTGGCAACCAAAGTGCGACATTGTCCTAATTGGTTTGCTACCCATTTTTCATCATTAAGTAGGATAAGAGCTGCTTCTGTTGTTATTATTGGTGAATTATTAATGAACCTTTCCATTGTACTTTGTGATCACTGTATTAGACATGTTTGCATATCTGTGATTTATACAATCTCATATAAATACCCAATCCAGAAATACAAAATGACAATGAGTCGCGAGAATAAAGTAAAAGGGGTAAGAAGTAAGGTTATGTACATTATATATCCCCAACATGTTTTCAGAAAAAAAAATCTAGGAATAATTGGTCTAACTGTAAATGATCGATTCATCCATAATATAAGAGTTGCAGATGACACTTCTATAAACCGAGTGCATGGCTTTTAAAAAATTTACAACAAATTATTGACAGGTTACTATAAATATCAGACAAAAAATGATTTATTTCATAGCAATTTTTGATCATCACAAAACCAAAGCAACAAAGCATCAGAAAGCTTAAGAATATATGAAAGACAAAGAAAAAAGTAAAAAATATAAATACCTAAAAATAATCATTAATGAAAATAATCAATACAGTAGATCAAATTAAGATCAGAATAGAATAAGCAAAAAATGTATTCAACAAAACGAATCAGTATTCTGTAGTAAAGACATCACACTAGGCTTTAAGCTGTTGAGATGATACCTGTATTTCCGTGCTGTTATAAAAAATTAAAACCTTCTTC